ACCCAAACCCACTCCCACCACCGAAGTTCCTTTGCAAAAAGTACTTGAGCTTTTTTTGTAAATCACGCCATTAGAATGCTAAACCATCCGGCCCATCCAAAAAGATTATCTATATGACAAAAAAGTTGTTATTTCTTGTGCTAGCATGATAGGTCTAAATGAAACAGAAAACTTACCTTATTCCATTGAGTGGCCATATTTTTCCTAGCAAAATTGAGTTGGACAGCTTTGTGCTCAGGCTTAAGAGCAGGGCACTTCTCATTTGAGACCAAACAATGTTGTTGTTGCCATGTAAAACCTTTCAAACAATTTCGTGATGTACTAAATTACCCAAATTGTCCCAAATTTTACACATGGACACTGTAGAATTAGAAGCTGCACATTAATAATTCATCTGTGGTCTTGCAGGATAAGCTTTGAAAGACATCCACTTCTACGCATTAATCCATAATTTGCAGGATTTGACAAATAATGCTGAATGACTTTTTTAGAACACTTGATGCTGTTTTCTACTGCCTGATGACTTAAATCAGTGCTTCTCAAAGCTATAAATTGTCCTTTCTCAAAGTCTGTTAAATGGGTACCATGAGGCATGATGAAAAAAATATTTTCACACTTTAAACTTGCGAGAAAGATGAAGTTCCATACTTATGTGGCAGAATGTAAATTGACTTCCTTGCTATTTCTCAGTCAACCATGAATTAGTTTTCTAAAATTATGTTTTTATAAGTTAGGTGCTGAATTACATGTTAAAAAATCTATTTCTCTCTATTAGTGCATGTTCTGACCTTAAAAGATCAATTTTTTGAGCAGTTCTATACTTTTGTGGAACACCTTATCAATCACCCATTTTTATTCTACTTCTATTAATATAAAATTTTCTCTAGAAATTCATTTTTTCCTTTATATTATTTTTCCAGCAATCTATTACCTTTTCTTTATCAACATTCATCTTGATTTAAGATTTGTCATTACCTAATTACTTTTGTAACCATCATTTCCTCTTTCTGAATTCCAGAATACTCTTAAATATAACAATATTGTTATCCAAGTTATAAATATATGTCCAAGTTTTATTATTTCAGAATTTTATTTTTTATTAACTTCTTTGTAACTATGGAAACATCTCAAAACAAAACTAAATATTTAGGCTAAATATTTTTTACCAACAGCTGCTACACTAATTTGTAAATTAAATTAATTTATAAATTACATCATAAAATTAATCTTAAATGTTATTCTTTAAGATACTTCTTACATAAAGTGTAATATTGTTAACAATAAAGTTTAGCACAATCATATTTCCAACAAAAAATTTTAATTATAATAGGTTCAATGATATAGTGAGATGTGCTAATCTAACTTTATGGATTTAAAACACTTGGCATATTGTTTTTCTCTTACAAGTTATTTCCATTGATTTTTCAGTCCTTTTTACAGCAAATTGAAATTTCTTTATTTTTTTTCTCTATTCCCATTGGATTATTCACATTAATCTTTCTTCCTTTCCCTTTTTCAGTGAAAGCCTAGCACTACATACAGAAGTTTTTATTACCTTAGAATCTCAAGTGAAACTTGATATGTAAACTATCTGTAAGTTTAAATATGTTGGAGTTTATACATATTGAAATATTTTTGTACAGAAAATATAAAAGAATGCTTAATATTTCTTACATTCTATCATTAATACTAAATTAAAAATTGAATTATGACTATTTACAAAAAATTATAAAATTTTTCGAGTCTATCTTTCGTCCTTTTAACACACCACAGAAGTAACAGTATATTGGCTTGAATAAACTTCCATAGAACATGTGATAAATTATAAAGAAAACACACAAATTTAAAAATAACAGCATACATGCTATCATGTATGCTGTTATTAATACTAAAGTTTAAGAATTTTAGTTAATTATCATTTAACTAGCATTGGTATAATAAATTACCATAACTAGCACTAACCATAATAAATAAAGTATAAAGTCAAACTTACAGTAGTATTCAAATTTAATACTATAAGTTTCAGATATCCAAAATAAACCCAACAAAAGTATGAGAGTTAATCTGATTTTTTTTGAAAATCAATAATATATAGAGGTATGACAAAATCTGAAGTATGACCTGCAAAAAAAAAAAAAGTACTTTTCAAATTTCCTGCCAAGATAATAACACTAGAGTTGTCTATTTTTCATAGTAATTTTATATTTTTTTTAGCTTCTGTCACTAAACTGAGGTAAGTAATTGTTGCCCATTTATTACAGTGGACCCTACTGTAATAAATGTAAACAAGGCCTTATCCACTTTTTAAATTTTTCAGTATTCATCTGCTTTTAGTAAAAAAAATAGTAATTGGAAAGCAAGAGTTTTTCAACATAGATTTACAATTTGAATAGCATTTCGTTTTTTTACAAAATTAAACATAATAATTTACAAGAACTGTTCAAAACATCGTCCATACATGCAAATGCATACTTGAAGTTTTGACAGACTTAATTCTCAAAAGCAAATTGAAATTTGAAAAATGCTTATAGGGAATTTTAAGCTTAAATTACATCATAAAATTAATCTTAAATGTTATTCTTTAAGATATCAATCTTTAAGAATAGCAGTGATCCTAAAATCTATCCCTAAAATATTGGCAGAGTTGTCATACCCTGTAAATATATAATCCTTAAGATGCCATTACAATCAGTTAACTTAGTAATGAACAAATTAATATTCAAAATAATAATATTAATTAAATTAGAATTAAACATTATAAACAAAACCTGACATATCTGATCTAAGAAAATTCATTTTATACTTGAATTCCTTCAAGTTGAATAAAATATAGAATTTTATTTTTATAGACATAATATTTTAAACTCCATCCAATTGAAAGTTTAGTAAAAATTGAGAAATTAATTGAATGCAGACTATGTTAATTTTATGTCACTTTCATTTGTGATATTCGCAATAATGGTTTCAAATTTTCTCCCAAATAAAACCCAAAAAAGTTTTTCCTACAATGTATAGAATATTTTTTGCAAATGCAAATATTTTTTTCACACCTGGAGGTAGTGCTGATAGCAATTATAAGCAGTGTTGTTTTGTTTATTATTCCAAAGTGTTTACTATTCATTTGATACTGTTATGAAAAATGAAAAAAAAAAAAAAAAAAAAAAAAACACTCGGTGCCACAGCTAAACGAATAAAAATCTGGCAATTCTCGGAAGATAAACAACGAACTACGTTTTCTCTTTCCAGTTTAAATTAAGTCAATTGGAGAAATCAAATATGGAAGTTGAGTGCTTACTGTATTCGATTCTGTAGTTGCGGGAAGAGAGAATTTTATTTCTTCCACTTCCAGACTAGTTACTCACGAGGGATTCTATTTACTCGAGTTATTTTTTTATTTCGGTTCGTTCGATGTAGTTTACGTACGACGACCGTAGATTCTCATATCTGTCGGAATCTTCTGACAGATGGTCATTTGCGTAACCGCATCTTATGATGGAAAGATCTATCGTAGCGCGCTGTTTGCCAATAAATGTAGAACACCGGAAAAAGAGAGGAGACTTTAGAAACTGTTGTTTAGAAATCCAAGGAATTCTATTCCATTCCGAGGAGGCTCGACGTCGTTCTGTGCCTTTCGATTGTTAACGCGGAAGGTTAAAGAGTAGGATTGTTACATAAATCGAATTAA